ATGCTGCGCCCACCGTGCCGGTCACTGCCTGGGCGTGCAGGGTTGGGGGTCCCCATGGTGGATACCCGGACTTCGAGGGTCAGCCGCCGTCTGGGGCGCCGGGCAAGCTGCAGGCAGGTAGGAGCAGGGGACACCTCCAGGGTGCCGGACCCACCGGTGTCCCAGGGCTGTGGGATGTGGGAATGGCGTCTCATGGTGGGACAGGGCTGCAGGGCTGGATCTGCTCGGAGTTGCAGCACCAGGAGCCCTTGGGAAGCCCTTGAAGAAGATGGGTGTCAGTGCAGGAAGGATCAGGCCCTCCTTCCAGATCTGTTGTGGTGGTGCCTATCCCTGCGGCCTCAGGGCTTGTGGAGCCTCCTCTCCTTTGCAGCCTGGCAAAAAACATCCTTTAGCTGGGGGGCTCCATCCTGGGAGAGAGCACTGAGGTGCCCCTCACCTTCCTCTGTAGATGGCACTGATGGCCAGCACCGCAGGGACACATGAGGGGTGACAGAGGGACGGGGTCAGGCAGGGAGGATCCAGCTGCCCCCAGCTCCAAATAAGCCCCTTCGTGCCACCGTCTCTCAGGATCCTAAGTAGGACAGCCCCAGCCCTCCTGGTCCCCAGTGCCTTGCATTGTGTCCCCAGGGTGGCTTCAGAGCCCTTCAGGACCTGGCGGTGGTCCTGGAGGGAGAAACTGGGATGTGTAGGGGCTCACTGGTGCTGTGGGGGCCCACTGGTGTCATGGGAGCGTGTGCCCATGAGGGCAGACAGACCTGGGGGGACATGACAATGTGCCGAGGTGCTTGTGTGCGTGAGATGATGTTTGTACATTGGCCACAAGTCACCCCCTCCCTGGGGATGCTCAGGTGGGAAATGGGCATTGCCCCAGGCCAGGCTTTACCATGGCTGGCCCAAGGTGTCCCCTCTGCTTGAAGGACGACCATGCCGGAGGGACATCAAGGGGGAGGTCCCTGCTGGGGCCAAGAAAAGCACCATGCAAGGCTTGCGGGATGCTTGATGTGTCACCACCTTTGGGCCTAGGCCATGACACAGCCATGGGGCTGCATCTCCAAGCTGCCCATCCCCACAGCCCTGTGCCAGGGACACCCAGCAGCTCCCAGGCTGGTGGCACAGAGCTGAAGGAGGCGTGGCAGGAGGCACCTTCCTCTCTGCTGCCATGGAAGGGTCTGAAATGCATAAAGGCGGTAAACAGTTGCCTCAAGCATGCTCTGTCCCTCAGAGACAGACTAGGAGCCAGGCAGACCTTGATGTCAGCCATAGCGGGCAACTCATCTTGTGGCCTCCTGGAAAAACACATATGAAGGCAACAAATGTGGAGATGGTGTAGGAAACCCACTGCATGCTCCACGCTGCCCTACCAGCACATGGAAGCCCCTTGCCTGGCTCCTGGCTTCATGCAACCTCTCTCCTGGTCTCTGGTCCTTCTCACACCCATCTCCTGGCAGGTGCTGTCCCTGGGCGCTGATGTTCTCCCCGAGTACAAGCTGCAGGCGCCACGCATCCACCGATGGACCATCCTGCACTACAGTCCCTTCAAGGCTGTGTGGGACTGGCTTATCCTTCTGCTGGTCATCTACACAGCCGTCTTCACCCCCTACTCCGCCGCCTTCCTGCTCAATGAGGAGCAGGTGGAGGAGAAGCGCTGGGACTGCAGCTACTCCTGTGACCCACTCAACATCATTGACCTCATCGTGGACATCATGTTCATCGTGGACATTGTCATCAACTTCCGTACCACCTACGTCAACATCAACGATGAGGTGGTGAGCCACCCTGGCAAGATTGCCATACACTACTTCAAGGGATGGTTCCTCATCGACATGGTTGCTGCCATCCCCTTTGACTTGCTCATCTTCCGCTCCGGCTCTGATGAGGTATGGGCAGGGCCTGGAGGTCCATCAGGGCAGGAGGGGACTCATAAATGGGCAAGGAGAGATGTATGGGAGACAAAAAGAGAGGGGTGTGGATGGCTAGATCTGCAAGGAGACAGGTGGTTAGTCAGAGGGATGGACAAGGATGTCATTACAGGTTTTCATTAAGATGCTTGGACCTGGGATTTTTTTTTAGTAGGGTCAGACAGCCACACAGACCCTGCTGTAAGAGCTAAGATAGTGTCTAAATGGACCCACTCCCCTTGCTGGGTCTGACCCAGCAGGGCAGGCTGGGAACTCGGTTTAGAGACTGGTACCACATGCCAGTGAGGCTGAGTTTGAGGTCACATTGCCAGCCAGACTCACAACGTTGGCAGTCGGGTGGCCCTTGTGATTACTGAGCTACCTGGAGGCTCCACCTTGCCTTATAGCCTGTGGGATGGGGTGGAAGGCAGCTCTTTTGGAAGCAGTGATCAGCAAGGTAAGGACTCATCAGGAAACATGGGGTTGGCCTTGGCTCCTCTCACTTGCTCACCTGTAATCCCAGAGTTTGTTCCTTTCTGGGTCAGCAGAGGGAAACCATAGCATGATTCATCTAACCTACTTTAGATGTCACCTCCAGGACAAGGTGATTCATGCTCTAGAAGTGCATTTTTACACTTCAAAAAGAGCACAGCTAGACTGGAGACACGCCTTTGGCCAGGTTTATCTCCTGCTTGTCCCTTAAGTTTCTCACCTCTCCCCTGCAGACCACCACCCTCATTGGTCTCCTGAAGACCGCTCGGTTGCTGCGCCTGGTCCGCGTGGCCCGCAAGCTGGACCGCTACTCCGAGTATGGAGCAGCCGTGCTCTTCCTGCTCATGTGCACCTTCGCCCTCATCGCCCACTGGCTGGCCTGCATCTGGTACGCCATCGGCAATGTGGAGCGGCCCTACATGGAGCACAAGATCGGCTGGCTGGACAACCTGGGTGACCAGATCGGCAAACGCTACAATGACAGCGACCTCTCCTCTGGCCCATCCATCAAGGATAAATATGTCACTGCCCTCTACTTCACCTTCAGCAGCCTCACCAGTGTGGGGTTTGGCAACGTTTCACCCAACACCAACTCCGAGAAGATCTTCTCCATCTGTGTCATGCTTATTGGCTGTGAGTGCCTGCGCGTGTCCCGCTGTCCCCATCCCTGCCTTGGAGGTTGCAGGGGCTTCTCTGGGGAGAAACAGGGAGAGCCCACCAGGCTGTAGCATGTGGGGTTTTACGAAAGCATCTCCTTCTGCCTGTGCCTCTTGTGCACAGACAAACACCTGGGAAGATAGAGAGAAGTATGGATTTCAGAAACCCACTGGTTTCAGGTCCATTGTAGATACAGGCTTTGAAAACCTGCTGGTTCCAGGTCTGAGGTAGCTGGACATGCATCTCCCCATGTCCTGCTGAGTCCTGCCCTCTCATTGCAGCTCTGATGTACGCCAGCATCTTCGGCAACGTCTCCGCCATCATCCAGCGCCTGTACTCGGGCACAGCGCGCTACCACACGCAGATGCTGCGGGTTAAGGAGTTCATCCGCTTCCACCAGATCCCCAACCCCCTGCGCCAGCGCCTGGAGGAGTATTTCCAACACGCCTGGTCCTACACCAACGGCATCGACATGAACGCGGTGAGTATGGGTCAGGGAGGCCCCGTGTCCTCACAGCACTTTGTCCTGAACAATACAGAGTCTACTTCTGGGTCCACCCAAATATTTCCATCCTTTCAACCAGCGTGGAGAGGAGGCAGGAGAAGACTTGAGAGGCTGGACACGGACTCCAGCCTGTCCACCTCCTGCATCTCCCTTTCTCCTTCTCCCTGTCTGTCCACCCCTCAAAATCTACCCAGAGGTTTTCTGGGGCCATGATGGCATTTCATGGCTGGAGAGCAGGTTTGGTGCCAGCACACTGGTGAGGAGCTCAGAGCCTCTGTCAGCGCCAAGCACTTTCAGGCCGGTGTCTGTTGGTGTCACAGAGCTGCGGAGCCGGTATCGATCCAGCTCCTCTCCACACTGCCGGTTGCTAAGCAAAGTGCATCCTGCTCTCAGCGGCAGGGAAAGGAGGGCATTTAAATAAACCTCGATCCATTTTAATTAGAGCCCAGAGAGGCGGCTGTTTGTTAGCAAAGTGGGGATCAATGGCGGAGCCGCACTGGAGAGGCACCGTGTCTCCGAGCTGGGCGGGGAGGCTTGTGCCAACGGCGCCGGGGCGCCACAGGGGTGAGGAGTGGGCTCAGACAGGGTGGTCTGGGCCAGGATGGCAGGACTCGGCTTACGGCCACAAGGTTCAGTGCCGGCTCGTCCAGCTGCAAGGCAGAGAGAGGAATGGGAAAGGACAATGCAAGGAGAGAGATGGGACCTGGTACTCCCTGTCTCTTGGCCCTAGACAGGCCATTAGCCTGCTTCTTCCCAGCTCATGTGTCCTTTTTAACTAAGGCTTGATCCTTCTCCGTCCCTGGGCACTGTCAGGACATGGATTTGCATGAATTCAATCTTTCCATCTCGAGATGCTCTTGCCTCGTTAAACAATGGGGCAGCTGCTGGGAGAGCTCCAGGTTAAACCTCTCCCGTGAAGGAGACACCCTGAGCTGGGCATTGGTGTCAATAACTAGAAGCAAAGCTGTGGCACCCTACTAAGCACAAGTTCTCCTGGCTCAGTGCAAACCCAGGTCACAAATCCCCTGTGATGAGCTGAGCTTGTGGCCTGGACGTGCTGCCGCTCACACCGATTCCTGCCGGATGCTGCTGAGACACGATGCGATCTGATCAATCATCCCACGGCCTGATCAATTCATCCTCCTCCAATTTCCCAGTAGAGAAACTAAGGCACTGCTGCCAGCTGGTGAGATCATGACGGAGCCAGGAAAAAGCCATGCGCACGGCGGGCCCCAGCCCGGTTGTCCCAGGTTTGGCCACCAGTGGGATGTGAGAAGAGAGCAAGCAGGACCCCAGGGCCATATGCTGCTCTCCATTTAAAAAAACAAACCTGGGTGGATTTTGCCCTGGCACCAGGAGCCATCGGTGGCAGCAGCTTTCTCCATATTGCACGTTTTACCTTGACTTCACCTTCAGATTTAGCTTTTGTTCAACGCGAGGTATTTGCCAGGGGTATATTTGCACACAACTGGCCCATGCTGCTTCTTGGCATTCAGGCAGGTGCTGTTTAATTAGGACAGCGCCTCGTTACAAGTTTCTGCTCTCAATTCAGCCAAGATTAGTGGGTGTAAAGATGAAAAGAGGGATATGCCACCAGTGGGTATAAATGGATTGATCTGGTTATTATTATTTATTGCTTGGGAGTGCTCTCATCCCCGGCCGCATGCAGTACACACCAGGGACAGGCAGGGAAGATCAGATGTCCCCAGCTTTGGCTTTCTGGGTTTGCGGGCTCCCCATTTGGCCCCACGTCACGCTGGGTGTCACGCAGCCTCCCAGGGCTGCCACAGCAGTCCTTCCCGGGGCGGTGGCGTGACGGCATCCCTCCCGTGCTCTTCACAGGTGCTGAAGGGTTTCCCCGACTGCCTGCAGGCAGACATCTGCCTCCACCTCAACCGCACGCTGCTGCAGAACTGCAAGGCTTTCCGAGGAGCCAGCAAAGGCTGCCTGCGCGCCCTGGCCATGAAGTTCAAGACAACTCACGCGCCGCCCGGAGACACCCTGGTGCACTACGGAGACGTCCTCACCACGCTCTACTTCATCTCCCGGGGCTCCATCGAGATCCTCCGGGAGGACATTGTGGTGGCCATCTTAGGTGGAAAAGTCCTTCTTTCTGGGACGGTGGGGGGTGATGGGCAAGGAGCAAAGGGTGAAGGGTGCTGGGCGATGAGCAGTGGGCAAAGGGCGGCAAGTGAGGGGCACAGGATTTCTCCATGTCCTGGAGAAGAGAAGGCGTTCCTCAACATCTGACTGCCCACACCAGTTGACAGGGAATGGAGGATCCCCAGTAGGTGTCAGGGGGCAGCCACAAAGGCATGAGGAGAGCAGGGCATGGCTCACAAGTCCCAGCCATCACTGATGACTTGGTCTCCCCATCAGCGATGGCTTTCGTGGTGTAAGGCCCAGCATCCACAATCAGGGTTGGGGTTGCTGGGCATCCTCTTGTCCATGAGCCCCAAAATGAGGTCTGCTGGTCCAGTACATCTGGAGCTGAGATGGTTGCCCATTTTCCCCTAATGAGCTGTCTCTTGGCACAGGGAAGAACGACATCTTTGGGGAGCCCATCAGCCTCTATGCTCGCCCAGGGAAGTCTAATGCTGATGTGAGGGCCCTGACCTACTGTGACTTGCACAAGATCCAGCGGGAGGATCTGCTGGAGGTCTTGGACATGTACCCAGCCTTCTCTGACAACTTCTGGAGCAACTTAGAGATCACCTTCAACCTCCGAGATGTGAGTGCCAGGGCTGTCCTAGGGCAGGACGTGGTCATTGCCTTAAGTTTGACAAGTGGGGGGGCTGGCCAGGATGTCAACAGGTGCTCCTCACTCAGTCTGGTGGTAGATTGGCCAACAGCCACGTTTCCCAAGGCACATTTTGTCCTTTCCTGATATTTTTTCTCAGAGACACTTGCCACGTAAGATAGAAAAGAAAGTCAAATTCCCTCTATATCCTGTCCCACCCCAGGATGTCCTGTCCCACCTCAGGGTGCTCCTTCCCTACCCATGGCCCTGACACCCTTATCTCAGCCTCAGAACAGTGAGGCCAGCCTCCAGGATGGCTTGAGCTATGCCATCGGTCCAGGAGTCACTGAATGGGACAGGGCAGTGATGGAGAGCTAGAGGTAGCTGGAGACCAGCCCTAGGAGGATGCTGAATGGGCTGTAGTCCCTGTGGCACGCAGGGCCATAGCACCCATGGGTGAGACATGACACCTATGGATGGGACATGGCATCCATGGATGGACCTTGGTACCCGTGGATGGGACATGGCACACTTGCCCTGGTGACCAGCCCTTCTCATCCCTCAGGCAGACAGCGTTCCCCGCTCACCCCTCAGCGAGGAGTACGACTGCACCTACCGACGGGCGCACCGACGCAAGCACTCCCTTTGCCAGCCTGACAAGCCTGGTGAGTCCCACCACATTGGCAGAACCTGGCTTGCAGGGCAGGGGAGCGGGATCATCATTTAATTACTGCCCTGGCAGGCACCCTGAAGCAGAGGCGGCTCTCACTGCCTCCGTCCCTGCAGACCAGCCTGTATGTCCCACCCAGGGGCACCCATGCTGCCTTCCCTCCCTCTCCTTAGGGTGTCCCAGCCCTACAGGCACCCTAGAGGGGATGGGGGCTCATTTTGCCATGTGTGGTACTCCCCAAATTAACCTGTTGTGCTGCCCCACAGACCCAGACACGGGCATCTCTGATGCAGAGCAGTATCACACCTACTCAGAGCTCACCAACCCGCAGGACCCGCTGAGTAAGGACCAGTGGGATGACCTGGGCAGCAGCACCACTCCCTGTTCCCAAACCAGCGATGACGAGGTCAAGACTGGCAGCCCTGCGAAAGCTGAGCCCTTCCCACCCAAAAAGGATGACTTTGCTCTGCCCACGCTCAGCCTCGTCACCGCGAGCGCCGGTGGCACAGAGGTCGGCAAGCAGGCAGCGGAGAGCAGCCAGTCCTACGCAGGTATCCATGGCTGCAGCCAAAGCTGGCAGGAGGGTGGTCAGGGATGCTTGGGCATGGTGGCCTTGTTTTGGGACAGAGCCGAGCAACTCATGTGAATTTGAGGGGAATCGCGCTTGTGGCCAAGGGTCTTTGCTGCCTTTTGGTCCCAGGAGTACCCACTCTATCCCTCCCATGCTCTGCAGTTTCTCCTAGCATCCAAGGGGCCAAGTGCCATGTGCCTTCCATATGCAAGTTGGGTGACAGTGTGATGGATTCTCTATGAGCATTGGGGGTGCCAGGGTGATGGATCCCATAAACACCTCAAGTGCCAGGGAGATGGGCTCTCCCTGAGCATAACGTCTGTCAGGGTGATGGCTCTCCATGAACACGCTGGGTGATGGACTCTGGAGCATCTTTATGCCAGTGGAGCTGAGGGATGCAAGACAGAAGTGCTGAGATGTCTGTTCTCCTTCCAGCCACTCCCTTGGACATCCCCAACATGTTCACCTTCTGGGAGGACCGAAAGCCAAACCATCACTCGGAGCCTCTGGAACACATCTCCTTGGTACACAGCTCGCGGGACATCCCCCTGCAGAGCGACAGCAGACCAGGGCAGATCGAGTCCAGGCTGGAGCTGCTGCAGGCCCAGCTCAGCAGGTAGGCAGGTCTCCTGGGCACGGGGTTGGAAAGCACCTAGCAGGGCTTTGAGCCATCACCTTCTCCTGCTCTCCAGAGATGTTTCCTGACACCCTGGGACACTGTATTCCTTGGAGGGGTGGTGGGAGTGCTTTGCAAATGCAGCAGCTTCTTAAACGGCAAGCCCTGGCCCTGGCTGCAACCCAGCATCTCGTCTGTGCCGTCCCACCACCCCTGGGATCTGCCTCCTTGCCGCTGCCTCCAAAGTCGATGCAGTCACAGATATGAAACCACCCACGACCCGAGCCCTTTGCAGGCCTCCTCTTCCTGTTGCAAAGAGCTACAACCATCCTCTTGCTTGAGCAAATGAGCTTCGTGTGTATTGTTGCCCTCTAAATCAGAAAAAATACATAATTTTTGAATGAGAAGGAAGAGCCTGCACCGGAGGTGCAGGTTTAAAGGCCTCAGGCAGCACCTACACGAGCGGCTGGGTCT